CGTCAGGTCTCTGGAGTTCAGGCGCGCGGGAAGTGGCGAGGATATGTGTGGGTTAAGTGGTTTAACAGCGCGAGTGGGCTACCCTGGCAGGCCAGCTCGGATGCGCTTGGGGTGGATGTCATATCCAGAGTGACGCTACTCATGGGAGCGCCTAATCAAGGCGCGGCTGCCGACGCCAGGGTGTCAGTTGCTCGAGGGATTGCCGCGCGTAGGTCGGAGTCAATAGCTCTGGGGCCCGCGCTGGAGCGTCGCGGGTGCAGTGCAATAGCCAGTGGGTGCGCTGCCCATGCGCCGCGCAGCGCGGGGTGTTGTGGGCGCGTTATGGGGTGGTTTCAAAGACAATGCGCCCCGAACTTCCAGGAGAGGTTAGCAGCGGCTCAGATGCGGCTGGCGCCCGACATCTCGGGGCAGGACAAGGATGGGGGAGGCCATTCAAATATACTTTGGATAGGCGCAGGCGGGGTGGCCATTCGACAGAACCGTGGGCCCACGCCAAACATGCGCGCGCCTGCTACTAGCATGGAGGTCAGGGCCCCGGGACAACTAAGCAGGGAGAGGCGAACGCATGTATTTGTTCGGGAATGTGGTGGGATCGAGGATGCATGCTGTCAGTTGTAACGATGAGGGTGAACAGAGAGCTGCGAGGGCCCTGGGCGGGATGGATTGGGGTCCGCGTTATCTCTGGCAGTGGTGGCGCCGAGCGCCAGGCCGATTCTCTTCCACGGAAAGGAAGACAGGGGATCCAGGGGGCGATGGGAGGGCCAGGGGAGCTAGACATTCATGGGGCGATCTCAAATACATTCAGCAAGATGACGCAGAGTCTGAAAGAGGGAAGAAGCCCGACGCCGATCGCCTAGATCAAAGTAGACCCGGGCATGCGCATGGATAGCAGGACAATGTGAACGCTAGGAGGTGCGTCGGGTGAACCCGATGCAGCGGAGTGCTTGCTCGGCGCAAAGTCGGATGTCACCGATCAGGTCCATGATATCAGGGGTGCGTGAGGTTTTGTGGCAAGGCTTATTCGCCAGTGCAAGTTGCTGGCATGGCGGAGAAAATGGGGCTCGTACCCGTTTTAGTTATGGATATGGTTACACGCGGTGAATATTGGAACCCATTGGATTTCCGCTAATTGATGCCTGCAACATCTTTGAAGGAGCAGCGACAGTACGGTGGCCCTACTGTGAACAGTCAGGTTCATGCGCGCGGTTCTCAGTAGGTTGCAGGTCTGCATGTCAGAGGCTCGGGCCAGAAAGTGTGAGTGCCATGCTGGGCTGCGGAATGAGGCTCTTCAAGTTTGCATTCGCATTGTGTGAGATCGCAAGGGACAGTGGGGCACGCTGTCTCATTGAATCTCCCGCGGGAGCTTCAAGCTGGACCGCTGCGCCATTGCAGAGTATTCGACGGCGTCGAGGGTTGCAGGCGCATGGTGGGGGCCTGCTCTGTTTTCACTTGGGGCAACATGTCATGGGGGAGGAAGCGCTTATTAAGAAACGCGCCAGGTTCATGACCAACAGCTCTTCTAGTGGTAGGGTCCTCGGCACGATGCGTCAAGGTCGGCGTCGGCGTGTTGAACTAATTGGATGAGGCCGAACGCAGCGGTCAGAAGTATTCCCAGACGGGCTGCGCCGAGCTATGCTACAAGGGCTGGTTAACCAAATCGCGGCTGACGACCGATCGGGGTTCTCATTCAGGCCGCGTGACCCAGAAAGTCGTTTTAGCGAACCAGGCGAGGGAACGGAAGTTGACGAGGTTAGGTCTGGGCAGAATGAGAGTTGACATTGGCCTGTCTTAACCTGGGCCAGAATGTGTCTTGGTGCCTCTCGCCTAGTGGTCTCAGGAAGTTCAGGGCCATTATGGAGCTCGTGCCGCTGCTGGGTTACCGGGGACCTTCGCTGGCTAGATTATCGAGGGCGCGGGGGGCTGGCAAGATCAAGGGGGGGTGGAGCGGAGCTGGGAGTTCAGCGGGGGGAGCTCATTGCATCGCCACTAGCTGCGCCTGCCAATTTGCGCGGGACATCCAGGCTCATCCGTGTATCTGTAGGGTATGTTGATGCCAGGGATGATTGAGGGTTCCATGGGCGTGCGAGGCATGTGCAGGCATTGCAGAGGTGCGTGTAGCTATCAGGGGTGCCATATCTGTAGTTCATGTGAAGATGGCGCGGGCCTGGGACGACGTCAGGGGGCGAACTTGATCCAAAACTCACGTAGATGCTCGGATGGGGTGGGTGGGGGGTGGGGGGGTGGGGCAGTCGCAGAAACATGGGGCCACTCAGAATGTATAAAAGGCGGAATGCTGGGCTGCTACTGGACAAGCCCCACTTAGGCCTAGGTGCGAGGTGGATCGACATCTGCAAGATCGACGAGGCCTTTCCTGAATGCGGCTCCCGCCTGGTGGAGCAGCAACCTACGTGCAATTCCGAAGAGTTGGAAGTTCAAAAACTGCTCTTCTCTGTTGCCTTTGCCGAGGGATTGGGGCATGCCCGCGCGGCGGCGTGGCGGCGTTTTTTTTTTTTTTTTTTTTTTTTTTTTTTTTTTTTTTTTTTTTTTTTTTTTTTTTTGGGGGGGGTGGTGCATGCGCGTGGAAAAAAGGGCTTCCCAAACGCACTCCGCCTTCCCCCAAACTCCTCACCCTCCTCCACATCTCCACCAGCCCCCCCCCCCTCACTCCAAAAACTATGTTCATAGAGGTTGGGCGCGTGCTTTCGCGCCGAGGTCATGCGGGACATCTTCGTCGGGTTTCCCGACGAACGTCGCGACCCAGGCATGCGTGGGGCATTGTCCAAGTCAGTGCGCGGCATTGGGGGCGCCGCCAACGACCGGGGGGGTTGTTGCATGGAGTTTGCGTGCGGCGTCGAGGTTGACAACGGACAGGGGTCGCCGTGTGCTTGTGTGTGAGGCGAAGCGAGTCTGGTTTGCGGTGCATGGAGTTTTTTGTTTATGATACAAAAACGGTAGTGATGTTGGTAATGGCTGGTTCAATGGAGGGCCCGAAGAGAACGTCAAGGTTGAAATCCAGGGCAGACCTGGGCCAAGCTCCAACCTTTTGAGTCAAGCAGGATCCCAAATCGGTTTGTTGAGTCGACCCAGGAGCGGGGTATGGTATGAGGCGGATCACAGACATTCTGAAATACTCGTCAAGGAGTTAGGCCTGGAACAGTCCAGAGTGAGGCGTGAAGTGCTAGGCGAGAACCTGCCGCGCGAAGACGCAGAGGGGGGGGGCATTATTTAACCGCGAAGTTCAAGATTGCCAGGCTTTGGTGGCCAGGGAATACGACCTAGCGCAAGACCGACCAGGTATACAGTGTTCAAGATCTTGCCCGATCCATGCCGGCGCCAACCCGAGGGGCGCGGGGCAGTTTTCCCAAGTTGGGTGGGTAGCTCCAGGACCGCAACCGATGTGGGTACCTGTATTTGTAGCAAGAATGTCCGATGATGTTGCCTGCGTGGACAGACGCCGATTATGCAGGATGCAAGGGGGGGCGCGCAGCGACGAGGGGAGGAACAGTTATGTGTGGTCACATGTGTTAAAGTCCTGGGGTCCAGCCCAGAGTGAAGTAGCATTATCTTCTGGAGAAGCGGAGTATTGCGGAATGGTTGAAGGCGCCTTGGTAGCATTCGGACCGCAAGTGTCTCTCAAGAACGTCGAGATTGATTGTGGCAGAAGAATGTTACAAGTGCAGCTATGGCCATCGCGAGCCTGCGTGGGCGGGTAAACTCCGACACATCGACGTCTGCCAGCTTTGGTGACAAGATGGGTGCGACGATGAGACATCAACGTGGTCAAAATGCGTTCGAACTTTACATATGCTTCAGCTAAGTATGCGAGCGTGGGCGGCATGCCAATGCATATGGGAGGCGCTAGTCCACATCTTGTTAATGGAAGGCATGAGCTACCACCAGCTGCCTAGTAAGAGCTCAATCTAATTAGCATCCGGCTTATTTTGGCAAGCCGCCTTGCCGGTGTCTTGAGCTCAGGATCATTTGAGATCCACGTGCTCGCCGACGCGATTTACAACCAACGCTGCAACGGTTTTAAACGTGTTGCGTGTTTCGGTGCTTCGCGGTAGTGGCAATTCGAATACTGCATGTCAGGAAGCCCCTTGCACGCTTGCGCCCAAAGCATGGCCACCTTTCTGTGCACCAGCTATGCGTTGTATTTTTCTTCGTGGTGTAATTATATTTGCTAGGCTGTGGTCCTGGCTTCGATGCGCTGCCCACTTGTTTTGGATTCATTCGTTATCTGGTCGCGTTTGCTGTTTGCATATTGCCCGTCTCCACATTCGGCTTATCATCAGATGGGGTTATATCATAAGGTTCCGACAGGGTGATGGCTCTATATCAAGGTGGACCGTTGTTTAGTGCGTTGGGAATGTAGGAGGTTTCGCGCCGTGTTGGTTCCGTTTGTACGGAACGGTCATGGGTCAAGTCCAATTTGCCTCCAAAGAAAAATGGTTAGTGCCAGATTTTCGGGAAGGGGAGTACTAGGGGAGGGGGGGAGGGGAAGGATGGGAGAGAGGCGGGCATGAGAGATTGCGGAGGAGGGGGAGGGGGAGGATGAGGCTGAGGGGACGGAGGACGATGAGGAGCAGGAAGAGGATGAGGGAACTGGTGGCAAGGCAAGGATGGATTACGGGAAGGAGGGTTGGCCGGGAGAGCCCCCCCCCGTCCCCCCTCTTCCTCGTCGCCCTGAGGATGTGTGCGGCGAGTCGTCCTTAGGGCCCCCTCCTTCTGGGTTCGCTTTTGAAGCGTCGACCGTCTTGTATTGATTTTTTGGAATTCCTAGGACTCCGTATGAATCCTTATCAATCCTTTGGAAGCCGTAGGAACCCATCGGAACCTTCAGGAATTACTCAGAATCTCTCGGAATATTTAGGACTCCTCAGGATTCCATCGGAATCCCGAGGGATCCCTAGGGATGTTTTGTTTGCTCCCCTCCACCTTCCCCTCCCCGTCCTGCGGCACCCTCTGGGGGGGGGGGCCTTCTGTGCCAGGTGGCTCTCGTCGCCTCCATGGGCAAGGACGTCAAGGCGGACTGAGCCTGGGGGGCTGCCCGTGGGGCCAGCCGCGGCGCCAGCGCAGGATTTCTCTTCGTCCTCTTCGTCCTCTTCGTCCTCCTCAGCCTCTTCGTCCTCTTCGTCCTCTTGGTCCTCTTCGCCCCCCAACAACAAGCAGATGGTACACAGCAGAGCATGTCACATATTGTTGGCATGCGAAAGCAGTTGTCCTCCCGGTCCTCCCCGTCGGCCCTGGTCTCCCGCGTCGCGAGTAAAAACACGACGTCAGATCTATCGCCAGTTTTCGGTCCGCCAGAGGCCTTCATCGGGCCCCAGGATCTTCAAAACAAAAGTCCAGGGTGAACAGCTGGTTCCAACGAAGGGGTCCAGACCTCCACCACGTTGGTGAAACAATCGCCGCGTCGTCGGCGGGTATGAGGAGTTCCTCTTCCCTGCCCTCTCCGTGTCTTGCGCCTTGTTTCGCCTCCGCCGGCACAGCTCGCCCTGGAGCGTGCCCAAAGTGCGTTCCGCGCGCGCCGCGGTGTCCTCTTGCGACCGCGGGCGGAGCCTGAAGGTCCACCAACGTTTCGTTCGGCCAGGGCCCTAAGGCGCAGGGTGCAGAGTCACCTCTCCCTCCCCTTCCCCTCCTCTCTCCTCTCTTCCCCCCTCCCCCTCTCGCTCCCCCTTCCCCCCTGCCCCCTATCTTCCTCCGCCTCGGCCTCTCTCTCCTGTCACGTCCTCTGCCCCATCCTCTCCCCCATTTGCCTTGCCCACCTTTGTGTTCCTTAGCCATAGATGTGTCGGTTGAGCGGTTCAGGCGTTTACAAATTTGTCCCCCCCTTTCGGCCTTGAAGCGCGGCATGTCGGGCAGTTGCACGGGTTGAGGTGGTCTGTTAATATAATGAGGTTGTCGTGTTGTCGCTGCGCACATTCGTACTAACCGCTTCCAACACCTGTGTGAATAGATGTTGCACCTTCTCGAAATGAGGCTCTCGCCCAAGTGCCGTTCCTTTTTCAGGCGTATTTTCTTGTTTGTTGGGGTGCCTTCTTTGTTCAACAAATGTGTGTGAGAGATTGTTAAATTGAGCAAGCCATGATACGGAAGCCTTTCGCGCCGCGCGCATTCTTCTTACATGCTTTCAGCAGCTACGCCTTCGGCTGACGGCTAGTCTTCTTAGCAAGATACGCTCGGGGTTTCCGCAGCGCACGATCGCTGAGCTAGTTCTAATAGCTACACGGTTGAAGGGTGGTTTGTTTTCAACGCACGAGGCCTCTTTACGTTGCGCGGATCCGTATGTAAACAGTTTTTTAGATGAAGGCGGTACCTTTTCAGTCGGGGCTCGCTCTTGACTTATCCCCGTAGTCTACCATACCAAGTTTGAAGTGCACCCATCATAATCTTAAGGAAACACAACTTTCGTTCATTCTAGATGTCGTTTAAGGAAAACAGGAATCTGGACTGGACACAGCATTTTCTCGGGGCTTCACTTTTGTGTAGAACTTTCGTGCATCGGGACATGGGCTACGGTCTAAGGAAACGCTTCGAGTGACGTCCGCTTGCTTAGCGTAATGTTCTCTGAATTCCTGGCAGGTGTGCAGGTACAGCATTCAAGCGGAAGGAGGAGGGTTCCTTACAAAACGAGGCTCTCGCGTAATACTTCCTGGGATACCATGTCCATCCAGACAACTGGGCATGCGAGACATCTGCGCGCATGGGGTCCTTTCCCTCCCAGGAGCTATGCTTTCGCTGGGCGCGTCCTTGAACTGTATGGCCTTTCTTTTTCTAGTCGTCCCCCTCCTCCTCGCTCCTCCTCCTCCTCGCTCCCCCTCGCTCCTCCACCTCGCTCTTCTCCCCCTCCTCCTCGCTCCTCCTCCTCCTCCTCCTCCTCCTCCTCCTCCTCCTGCTCCTCCACCTCGCTCTTCCCCCCCTCCTCCTCGCTCCTCGCTCGCTCCTCCTCCTCCTCCTCCTCCTCCTCCTGCTCGCTCCTCCTCCTCGCTCCTCCTGCTCCTCCTCCTCCTCCTCCTCGCTCCTCCTCGCTCCTCCTCGCTCCTACTTCTCGCTCGCTCGCTCCTCCTCCTGGACGGCGGGCCCCTGCCCCGAGAGGCCAGCTCGCCGGCCCGGCAGGCCCGCAGGGCCCTTTTGTTCCGCTGCACGGCGGGTTCCTGTGGGGGCTCCCGGGGGGAGGTCGGTGCCGGGAGGGCGCATGGCAGCCCCGCTGTCAGGGGGGGCAAATGAATTTCGCAGGCCTGTTTTAAACATGTCAAGATGTAAAACAATATGTTTTCATGATTTCCAGGCCATTTTCCATACCTTTTAAGCACTTTTCATTCGATGATAGGACTGTTAGGGTGTCCATTGTCGTGGCATCCACAAGCCTAGAGGTTGACGCCAACGCCAATGTCGGCGGTGTGCCTCCACCGAGGGAAGAAGATCCCGACCTCGGCGGTGGTGGTACTATTCCGGCCTCCAGCACCGGAAGCTAGGATCATCCACCCCATGTGGAGGCAACCCCCCTGTGTTGGTGTTGGTGCCCATTTCCAGGCCTCCAACGTATGGCAGCCTCGCTGTCAGGGGGGGAACTGTGGGAAACTGGAACATATACATTACCAGTGGCGTGCTGTTTTTCAATCCCAAGACTTTTTGAGGGTCGGAGACGACGTCGGGGTGGTGTGGTGTATACTTTTCCCTCGTTTTCCAAGGGCAACAACGAAAATGTATACACCAGGACCCCGTGTACACCAGGATCCGAATTTCAGCGCAGGGTCGGACAAAAAGCATCGGTGTATAGAGTTCCTTCATAAATTGGGCCCCGAGGCCATCAAACATAAATCGGAAGCGAGAAGCTGTCCCCGGGGAAGGGGTCTCGGGAGCTCTGGGGCCGCGCATATGGAACACAAAGAAAACATGTCTCGTCGGATGTCCGCGTACGTTGAGGCGTGGCAGGATGCCGAGTGTTGTCTGGTACAGTAGTAGGGGCCCGTCCACAAGAAACCTTCCACAAGGAACCCAACCATGAGACCCCAGGACGTCCACTGATTTTTGCTGTGGGAACGTCGCGCTCTCGATCGCAAAGCCATCGAAGCCCACGAAACCCAGGGCACCCTGGAGGCATGCAGGGTGCTTCTTGGCACGGGTCTCCACTGTACCCATACCGCTCTTTCGGCGGCAGCGCTGTGACAAGCGCCTGCGCGGTCCCGCCCCCTTCCCTCTCACCTCCCCTCCCCTCCTCTGCCTCCCTCGCGAACCCCTCCCCCTCCCTGGCACTCCTCCCCTCCCCCACTCCCCCCCTGTCGGCGGCAAGCGAGGGGGGGCAGTGAGAAGGAGAAAGCCTTATCAGAAGGCGGCGGGACTTCACGGAAGCCCTCGCGCCTTCTCAGATGTTTTTTTTTTTGTGTCTTCGGGGAAGGCTTAGAACAGTTCTCAGCTGCCATTCGGCCGCTTTCCCCTTTTTGGGCCTCCTGGGAGGTACTCGTCGCCACCGCTGGATTCGCCTCGAAATGCTGGTCAGAGCGCGCTCCGGGAGAGGTCCGGGGAGTAGCCGTATTGATACCTTTTGGTTTCTCCACGCTGGTGCATCTTGTGTTTATTCTTGTCTCCCTCTTCCTCGTCCTCGTCGTCGTCGTTCACCTCCTCCCCTCTCCATCCTCCTCCTCCCGCTATCCCCTCTCCCCCTCCCCGTCCCGTTCCTCCCTGCCCCCCCTCTCCGATCCCCTTGTTCTTCGTCGGAGATGGTTCTGCACTCATCTTCACGTAGCCTGACCGACGGCAGCGGCTGGGCATGCTTATGAACCTGCCTCTGAGCAAGAACAGCCCACGCAGATCATGCGGCCCATGCGAGAAGCGGAAATGAAAAGGTCAGGTTCTCAGCACTGTTGTCCTTCTTCTTCTTTTCCGCAGGTGTCACCCCCCTGCTCTACAGTCGGGGCCCTGAAGAAGGAACCCTTTTGGTTTGGGAGGGGCTCCGCGTTCCTCAAGTGTTTCGCAGCTTGCCTCAGGTTTTCCTGATGTTTTCGAGGGGAGATCGAAGTTTAACTTATGGAGGACAAGGGGCCTCGTTCCTTATTTTTGGGTTCCTTAGGTCAACGCCCCGACTCTATCCGCTGCAGCCGCTCTGGCTTCAAGATGACGGGCTCGCCCCGCCCGCGGTCCAAGGAGGCCGTGCGTGTTTTTCCCCGCATCCCGAGTGGGGCCTGCTGCTTTCTCGGACCATGCCCCGCTCTCTCTCTCTCTCTCTCTCTCCTCCTCGTTCTCCTCCTCCTCCTCCTCCTCCTCCTCCTCCTCCTCCTCGCTCCTCCTCCTCCTCCTCCTCCTCCTCCTCCTCCTCCTCCTCCTCGCTCCTCTCCCCCCCCTCTCACTCTTCCCCCCATCTCACTCCTCCTCTCCTCCATCCCCTACTCCTCCTCCTCTACTCTGTTTCTCCTCCTCCGCACTCTCCCTCACTCCTCATCGTTTCCCCCGCCTCCTCCTTGCTCCTCCTCCTCCTCCTCTCCTCCCTCCTCCTCCCCTCCTCTCCCTCCTCCTCCTCCGCCTTCCTCTCCTCCTCACTCATCCTCCCCCTCCTTTCCTACCCCTCCTCATACCTCCTCCTCCTCCTCCTCCTCCTCCTCCTCGCTCCTCCTCCTCCTGCGCACGCGCGCTTCCTCCTGCTCGGGTGCAGGCGGACACTCCCTGAGGCGCCACCCCACTCCCATACCGATACTGCACTGGGTTCCCGCACGCGCCGGTCGTGGAAAAATTGGGTATCTCTGGATGCCCAAGTCTCGACTAGACGTAGGAGTGACCTTTCGCCGGAGTGACCTTTGGTGCGGGCACAGATAGGCCCTCAGATGGCTGAAAACGAAGCGGTAGTAGCGCCTCGCGCGCCTGTGTTTGGTCCCCCCGCGGCCCCCCAAAGGCCGCGCACCAGAGGTCACTCTTACCCAGGGTCACTCCTGCGTGTAGCCGAAAGTCCCACTCTGCTTTGGGCGCCTTCCCACTGCAAGAGTCGAGCGGTATTCCTTCCGCCCTCGTCCTCAGGGGGCGGGCGGAGGCCCGAAATCTGCTTTCGGCGCCTTCCTGCTTCATGCTTCCGCCCACTTCTGGCGACCGACGTGCACTTCCCCGGGCACTTCCTGGATGTCCTGTGCCCGGCGTCACCCCAACATACTTATACTATATGTGCGTCGCCCCCCCCCCCCCCCCCCCCCCCAGGGGCGACGCGCGCACCGAGAAATCTTCTAGTATATGCGTCGTGGCGGGCGCTTTCTGGCCACGCCGCTCGGGAAACGATCTACTACAAGATGGGTGTACTATCTGTTCGGGTCGGACGCGCGCCTCCAAGGCAGACACATAGTATCAGCATGTCTCTGTGCGTCCCATGTGCCCTTCCTGCTCCGCCGGCCCTGCGTGCCAGTGTCGTGCGTGCCCCCTTGCGGGGAGGCCGCGTGAGGCCGCGCCAGCCGCGTGGGAGAGTCCGGCTCCCCGGCGCCGCCCGCCCCAGGCCGAGCACCCCAAGTGTCGGACTGTCCTTCTTCCTGGCCCCTCGCTTCGCATCGCTCGGACGTGTGCATATTCTCGGAGGCCTAGAGCTGTGGAGGACGATCAATGGAGAGGAATCTTGTTGCCAAATAATTTCTAGATGTCTAGAACATGTGTTCAAACTGTTTCAACCATGTTAAAAATATGTTTTCATCATTTTCAGCACATTTCCGACATTTTAACACATTCTTAATTCGATGATAGGACTGTTAGGGTGTCCATTGTCGTGGCATCCACAAGCCTAGAGGTTGACACCAGCACCAATGTCGGCGGTGTGCCTCCACCAAGGGAAGATGGTCCCGATCTCGGTGATGGTGGTAATATTCTGGCTTCCAAGGTGGCCGAAATATTGCCACACACACACCGGAATCTAGAATCATCTTACCCCTTGTGGAGGCAGCCCCCTATGTTGGTGTTGGTGCCCATCTCCAGGCCTCGAGTATTTTGGCCCGCGCGCAGAACATGGAGGAGCATCTTGGGTCACCTTGCAGGAAAACAGCACGCACGAGACCGACAAATGAAATGCACGGGGAATGGCCGTCCCAGCGGGCCCCCTCCCTCCCCACCCCCTCCCGCCCCACCCCACCTTGGGACCTCCCCCCCCCTGGGACCTCCCCCCCAGGCGGGGGAGGGGTCAAAGGGACGGGCGTGCCTTCGACTCGATGCCGACGTTGCTCCGCTTTCTCTCTGGCTGTGGACGCTTGAGGGGGAGCGGAGACGACGACGCCTCACATTGAAAAGCCTTTCGCACTCGGCGACAGGGTTGGCGGACTTTCGTGATCTGCAGACATCTCTTATGGCTGAGATTACCGCCGCAGGCACGCAGCGCTGAGGTCTCCCGCTGTGAGTGCAGGGTCGGCGTGGCTTTCTGCGGCAGCGCACAGCACGCCTTCCAGCGCCGCGGCACCGGCATGTGTCTTCCGTTCCCCCTGGGGCAACTGTGGGGATGAGCGTCTCAGTGATCGCTCGGCCGCGCGTGCGAGTGATTAGTCGCAGGAGTGACCTGTGGTGCGGGCCGGGCCCACAGGGGTGGCTCCAGCACTTGCCGGCGCACTTGCACCTGGCCCCGCCGCGGCCCCCGAAAGCCGTTCACCAGAGGCCACTCCTGCCCAGAGTGAGTCCTGCGTGTCGGCGAATCGTGTTCCAGGCATGCTCGCGTCGTGAATGTTCTGTTGTCGCTTTCGGCCTCTGGGGGCCCTCGCCGGGCTCCAGGACCGTCAGAGAACGACTCGTGACGAAACACGCAAGCCCCTGGCAAAGGGTGGGCATTTCCGACCCGTGGTGAGAAGATCAAGACGTCGCCTGTCTGGGGTGCTACGACCAGGGACTTCTATTCAGCGTGTGGCGCCGCCAGTTCTTGGCCCCACCACGCTTCGGCGCAACACGCTGACCACGTCCCGGGCCCCGAGTGTCCACACCCTGAGTCTTTCCCGCCCTCCCGCCCCGCGGAGCGGAGCAACGCGCTGTTATTCTGCACGGGATGTTTCGCGTGTCGCCGGGGCCGCCGCCGCGACACATTGCGCAAATGTCACACCAGCCCTCTGGGCGTTGGTGGTTTCACGAAGTATTGTTTTCTTTCTGGCAGAATCATCTCTTCCCCTGCTCCAGGGAGGGCTTTACCCCTCCCCCTGCTCTCCCCTGGACCTGGGAGGGGGTGGGGCTCGAGACGTTGGAGCGTCCAAGATGGCCCTAGATGGCTCCAAGAGGGTTCCTGAGAGCACGCAAGATGGCCTCCAAGATGTCCCACCATACTCGAAGATTGGTTAAGACATCCTCCGATATACTTCCAAGAGGCCTCAAAACGGCCCCAAGACGATTCCAAGTGCCCCTCGAGTCCTCCAAGTACTTCCCCAAGAGGCTAAAATGCCTCACAAACCTGAGGAGCATCACTGTTTTTTGCGTTCTCTCCTTTTGGCTTCCGATGGGCCTCGGAGGCCTCAAGATGGCCCCAAGGCGGCCCACGAGAGCCCCAAGAGAGGCCCGAGAGGGCTCCAAGACGGCCCCACGAGCGCCCCAGAGCGTTCCAGGCGCGCCACGAGGGCCCCAAGATGCTATGTTTGCGCCTCCGAGGGGGGGGGGGGGCTGCATTGTGGACCCCCCTCGGGGGCCCCCCTCCTCTTGAGCCAGGAGGGCCGCTGTGGTCTCGAGAGGCCGCGCGCCCCAACAGGAGAGCCTCAAGAGGCCATCAGGATCACCCAAGGGAGCCCCAGGAGAGCCCCAACAGTGCCCCAGGAGGTCCCACGGGGACACCAATTGGGCCCCAAGATGGCATATCCCCCAAGCTCGACTTCTCATCCTCCTCGTCATCGTTCGTTCCTTCCTTCCTCCCATCCTCCCTCCTCCCTCCTCCTCTTCTCTTCCTCCTACCCCCAAGATGGCCCCATGAGGTGTTTAGAAGGCTCATAAGACGAATCGTGAGGACAGATCTTCTGGCTGACATTCGATGTTCCACTCATGTTCGGGGCGGACAGGGTCCCAAGGCAACTCCAAAAGGGCTCCCAGAAGACCCTCACAGAGCTGCCGTGGTGGGGGGGAGCATGTGTTCAGCCACTTCGCACATGTTCCCGCCGTTTTATGCGCCTCCGGCGCGTTTACCAGGCGGCCGTTCCACTGCTTGCTTCTACCCGAAGAAGAACAAAACGCCATAAGCATAAACGTTTGGCGCTCGGCGCAGATTTCTTGGATCCGCGCTGGGCCACCCCCCCCCCGGCGGCGCCTCTGGCGCCGCCCCTGGGGAAAGGCGCGATCCGCGCGCGCTCCGCGCGC